GTCCCGTGTGCCTCCACATGCGCTTTAGCACCAACAAAAATAATGTTACTGCACAGGGATAAAACGATTTCTCCACGGGCGGCCCTAAAACTGCTGTGGGCTGCCAGGCCGGGCCGAGGAGTGTCACTTTTCAGGCGTCGTCCCTCCCCTGAGGGGCCCTCCTGGCTGTGGGCCTAGGGCAAACTGCTCCTGTGGGATAAAGGGGCCTCTGGAGGGATATTGCTAAATATGCGATGTTGCTAAATATGCTATATGTCCCATTTATGGTCGTGCAGCCCTGAAATGGGCGGTCTGTGTTAGTTAACTGGTGTGTAACAGGTAGAACTGGCCTTGTTCCCTTTTGCTCTTTTCTTCATTTTTGTCTCTTATTTCCCCTCAAACTCAAATGGCGGCGCTTTTCGAATGCATGTAGTGACCAGACTAGCTCTTCTTATTTGTTTTTCTCTTCTAAGAAAGTGCAGGTGTTGCTCTGTTTTCTCTCAGTTCTTTATTCGGTGGGACATAGGAGTTTAAAGGGCTGACGGCGGGGTTAAACCCTCAGGCTGGTGAATTGCCCTCTGAAGTGTGCGGAGTCCATACTTGCTTCCTTCTTACCAATTGCTTCACAGAAAAGGAGTCATTTAAGGGATGCGTGATCTTTATTTTAAGTGAGGAATTATTGAGAATGGAGAAATTAAGGCCTTTTAAATATTTAATGGACAGAGGTTTTCTAAATTATTTAATAGCTTATTATAAAAGATGGCATAAAATGGTTTAGTAATTTATCCTTTACAGAAAGTAGCTGTGAGAAGTGTTTTACAACATGTAAATATTGGTAATAATTTAAAATGCTATCTTATTCCATCTGTCAAAGGAATTATACAGTGCCCATACAGTTTTCAAATAACTTTAGACCTTTATTGTTTCTGTTCTTGAAACTCTTCTTTGGCATAGGAAAATGCTATTTATACCCATTTTACCCAAGCGCAGAGGCACAGAGACAGGCTGTGCTGGGTCTGAGGCGCTGCAGATCTGACTGTTGAAATTCCTGTTGGATACCAGAGCCCACAGTCTTTGTTTGGGCTCCTGGATGCCCTAAATACTGACACGGGAGGGTTGTGTGGCTTGAAGTGGGGTCTGGGGCAACTAAGGTGCAAAGCAGGAGTTGTTCGTGGCCAGCCCATGAGTAAATACTGAGAGCAGAGCCCTTCTCCGCTCCCTCTTCCTCCTTTTCTTTGCTATAGCTTTTCTTGAGGTGGTGGTGGGGGTTCAGTTTCCTCCTGGCTAGAGCTCGTTGTATAAAAATGACCCCTTCCTCAGATTGTTTTCCTTGGGTAACTTCTGTTCATATCCCCCTTGTGTAAATTAACCCTGCTGCATGGAAGTCAAGGACTTCATCTACAAAATTCCAGTTGTTGTCAGATGTATCGGCGCCTCTTGGGAGGTGACGCTGATTTTTATTTCGTTTCAAGCGGCGCAGGGTTTGCTCGCGGGTGGCCAGTGGGAGGGCTGGTGCCCACTCGTGGGAGCAGCTGCCCTCGCAGGCCAGACTGCCACAGCAGAGCTCCTGGCGCAGGAGGTCAGGAGCGATTCGCTTGTTTGCGCAGCCTGCAAATAAGCATCTCTGCTTTCCAAAGTAACGCTGCGCCCTAAGATGAGGCAGGGACCAGCATTAAAACCACCGATCACAAAACAGGCACAAAACACAGTTTCACCATGAGAAGCCTGGAATTCCTTTTTTATTATTATATTATTTTTATTCCGTTATTAACCAGGTGAGCCTCTTGCTTCGGTTCTGATCTGTCTCCTTTACTGACATAAAACAGCTGAATCTCAGACTTAAGATTGCGATGTATGAGTTTGCCTTACACTCCCCTCAAACAACCCTGTTTTTTTAAGAAATATCGCTGCCTGGAAGGCATCAGAAAGCCCCAAGATACGCTGGTGGCTGTATAATTTGCTGCTTTTGCTGTATCCATTTAATTGGAACGAGTTAGAATAATCAGTACCTCCTTGTCTTTTACCTATGTTTAACGTGTGTTTAACGTGTTTACAGAGCAGGTTACACTAAAGTTAGTATTTACCAGCATCTACACAGTTTTTTTTTTTGTCTGTAATAAAAATTATGGAACAGATAAGCACTAAACCCCAAGTTAGTATATTGCAATATTGATTTCTACAAAAGCACTGTAAGAATATATTTATCTATCTGTCCTATTATGAAATGGGTAAAAATGTACTACACTACCATTTCAGTCATTCAATACTATATCGAAAAGCCTGTTTGTTAGCGTGCCTCAAAAGGCCTATAGAGAAAAAGCAGATTTTTTTTTTAATTTTATGTGTATTTGTGGATGAAAGGATTAATACGGGATGGTAATGCTTTGTCTTAAGACATCTCTTTGCCTACATTTTATTTTGATTAGAACTGCTGTGTTGTGATTTTGGCTTGCTCTGAAACTCTCCACATTGGAAAGGAAAGACAGAGTAAAATGTGATTAATTATAGATTGCTGGCCTGGTACCTCTGTAATTCCAGCAATTACTCTATTTTCTCATGGCGTTCTGAACAGAAGTGAGCTGAGTGTATTGAGCCAGGGGCTTTCCTGTCCTAAGCTTCTGAAAGGTGTCTGCCTATGTGCTTTTATGACCCCAGAGATGCTTTGCCCTCCAATGTGATAGTGTAATTTCGTGTTTCTTAAAAGCAACTTTCTAATTGATCAAAGGAAGAGTGAAATGAAAAGAGTGGTGGAAGAAGATGAGAAAAGGTTATTGTGCTCACTCTGTAGGTGAAGACCACATTATTATTGCTCTCACAAATTGCACTGCGTCGTGTTTTCAATAGCAGAAGGTCAAGTTGAGCCCAGGGATAGAAGTGAGAGAACAAATATAAACAATAAAAGCAAAGAGACTCAAATGTCTATGAAATTGAGTGTTTGAGCTCATTATTCTGTGGAATGTGTGTCAGTACTGCTGCAGAAATGTCTCCACATAGTGATTTCACAGTGTAGCTTCTGGGTATAGGTGGGTTGGGTGTGAGATGTGATGCTGGAAGCAAGTGGAGACAAAAGCATTACAGAGGGTGCTGTAATGCATTGATCACACAGACACGATCCTATGGATGTGACCCTACAGACCCTCCGCTTCTGAGGCATCCTGACTCCAAGGGCCTTGGCCAAATCTTTTTGAAGACAACAAAAGATTTTTCCACCTGTCTTTAATAATCTCTTGTTCACAATGTTGAAAGTTTCAAGAAATCATGTGGAATCTGTTTGCGCTATGATGGTGTTTTAGACCTTACAGCTTTCTTAGCGGTTAGGTGGCGAGAGCACTCATGGTTATAAGGATACAGGGAGCTGTGCACATTATATTTGTAATCCCTAGTATAGCGAACTCTGCCTTTAGTTAATGTAGTGACATTTCAGAGCTGCCTTATCGCAATTTCTCTGTGTTCTTGGAAACAAGTGAAAAGAGCAATATGACTGCTGCCTTTTGCCTTGGATTGCACTGTAGATGGCACTGTAAAACAATGTTTTTTATAACGAAGATCTATTTCACAGCACCATTCCAGACATTAATTGCAGTGTAATATGGCTTTCTTTTTAGGTCCCCAAAGAGAAGGAAAAACTCTGAAATGCAGAAAGGCTTATTTGCTGCCACAAATGGGAATCTGGAATAACTATGAAAAACACACTGAAATAATTGTGTTTGACTGGAACAAAATTCTTGCAAAGTCCCCAAGGTAAGAACACTTTTTATCTTTCAAATGACACTGAAGATTTGCTGTTCTGGTTAGCAACAATATCCACTTGAATTCAACAGAGAATGAAGGCTTGACATTTCTGAAAGCGGCAGCCCACTGATGCTGAAGGGCTCAGCAGCCCTTGCTGCACCTGTCTGCCAAATTTCATTTTTTCCCTGCCTTTTTAAAGATCCTCTTGTATTTCTTTATATTAGTGGGCTGATGACTTGTGTCCTGTCTACCTGCAAGGCAGACTAAAGCCTGCAAATGTTGTATCATTTTAATGGTACTGGATGCTTTTAGCAGCCTTTCAGTTTGGATATAACTAAGTTGATGCCTTGTAGTGATACACTTATTCCTGGACTTGAATATACTTACAAAGGGGTAAGGTTACCCTGTTAACTTGATGAAACCTGGTTTCACATTCCCTGTCTAACATCAGGGCCATGGCTTCAAAAGAGTCAAACTCATAATCTGGGAAAGCTTTTGTAATTAGGTCGGCTCACAACATTTCCGCTGAGACCAGTGTTGCTCCTGCACTGGGAATGGTGGGAACACCTGGGTTCACTTACCTGCTGAAATAGCAGCTGTTGAGCATGTGGTGCATGATTTGGGGCTAAATACCTGTCCCCTCCATCAACTCATACCAGAAAGGTCATGCTCAAAATGTCTGATCTGTGGTATTGAATTCCAAGGGTTAAATCCTGCTTTCAGTCACACCTCAGGAAACCTGAAGGAAGGTCCTTGTCCTCATTATGATACTACAGAGTGACACCAGAGTTGGGATCTCCACTGATACTTGGATCAGATTCCTGTGTTTGCATTTAGGGCAACAGAGGGATGGTATTGCAAGATGAGCAGATGATGACAACTTCCTATTTAGTGGTAACTGGTGCATGAGGGTAACTGGTGCAAGCTGTGTGTTTCTCATGGAGAGAGCAAGAAATCTGTGGCTAAATTCAGCTCTCTCCTCAAGAAAATGAAGTTCAGTTACCTGGGGAAATTTGGGTGACTAAAACCTGAAATGGTAAGTTGATTTCAGAGCTTACTGGCCAGTTTTCTTAGGCTAATATTGGATCAACAGCAATAATAACATTTGTGCTGGTTTCACAGTAACTCAATCCCATTAACTGCAGTAGCATTATGTGGTTCAGCTGGGTGCAAGAGGTCAATTAGGTCCATGCTTATTACCTGAAGTGGAGCTGCTCTGAATTAGCCTGGGAATGCTCCATGAGAGGATACTTGTAGAGTAGGAAGGACCAGTGACGTTTTTATATTCTGGGCTTGATCCATGCTTGTGGAAGACTCCTATACACTTCCGCAAAAGAGCCTTAGTGTGTTTCTTCTGGTACTGGTTCATTTGCATTCTGGGTGGCAACATATTGGGCTCGAAACAGAGCACCTTCCTAAAGCCAGGAAAGGTACCTTTTTGCCAAATTTGTCCTTAAAATGCGGCTTCTTTACATGTAATTTTTTTTTTCTTAGACATGGTGAGTTATTTTTTAGCATATTTGTGTAGCTTTTTAAAAAAGTTTGTAAGCTGGAGTAAAGTCTACAAGGACAGATGAAGGTGCTGGGGTTTTACCAATGTATTTTTTTTTTTTCTCAAGTGTAAAATAGTGTTTGTTGCTAAAATATATTTACATACAACAGGCTTTTAGTCTCTTAACTTTTCATATTAATAAGTGCATTTGTGACTTGTTTGGGCTTTATCAACATTCCCATTCAGACACAATGAGAGAACAAAATTATTTTGTGACGTGGGAAAGGGAAAATTATGCAAGCACTTTTAAATGAGAAAACACGGCATCTAGTTTGGTTTCATGTGTAGATGGTTATCAAATTTAAAACAGGATCCAAGTGCTTCACCTGGCTTTGACAGTAGAGCTGTCTAAGGCATAGATTGGTTTTGTTTGTTTTAAACTGTCAGTCTATTCAGTGTTTGAATATTGGATTAGCTGGATAGTCTTAGGTATTTTAAAGATACACAAATAAACACATTATTTAGAAAATACTTGGAAGAATCAAAAGTGGAATCTGCAGGTGAAAGAAGATCCCAAAGGACTTTTTGGTGCAAATAAACATGCTTATCATAGGCTTGCCCAAATCCCAGCCTGCTGATTAACTGCAGACTAAAGTCAGTGCTATAAAATCGTTATTTATTTCAATTTATGCAAATCTATAAATTGCCTTTAATTAATTTGATGTATTCCTGCTTACAGCATTTGCTGAAAGTGTGGAACATTGTATCTAAGGGTTCAACTGCATAATGCCCATTTATGTATCACACAAGTAATAAATCATCATAACTGAGTTTAAGAAAATGATTAGATTGCCTTTCTATATGATGGATAACATAACATAAGCTATTGAGGGATTTAATTGTAGATATTTGCAGCAAAATTACTGAGGATTTGTGGTCTTAGTTCTAACACTAACATGAATAAGACTAACAACATCCACCTTCTTTAGAACAACTGTTTTCTGAAATGCAGTTTCTAACACTCTGGCAGAGCAGTGAGTCCTAGCATATCTGACTGAGGTGCTGGTTTCATGAGTGTTTAACCCTCAGCAAACTCATTGATGTCCAGGAAAGCTAGCAGATGTTTTGTGCTTTCAGGGTGGCAACTGGGAGATCCAGCCAGTTCATGTGCATGGCTACATGGGAGCTGATAGCTTTAGCAAATATGTCCTGAGAAGTATTAAGTAAAAAGGACATTTTTATGTGAGGTTTCCATGATTTTGAGGCAGGTGCGGTTTAAAAATAGTAGCACAGCTTATAAATATTTATATTTAAATTCGAGTGTGTATGGATCTTAATAAAAAACCCAAAACAAACCCAACCCCTTATCTCGGGTTCATAGAAATGTATTGCACTTATAACATGTTGTTATAAATATCTGCTTGTGGGTAATACGATGTGCGATAGCCGTTACATTGCTTCTAATTATAGAAGCTGCTTAACAAAGAATTGATCCCAACTAAACCATGCATACGGTTTTGTCGGTGTTGCCTTGTAATAAACCATATTAGTTATTCTTTAGCATCTTTTCAGCTTTTCCTTCCCCATGTAATTTTTTTGTTATTCCCTACTCACATTGTTCTTTCACTCAACTGCTTCCTTTTCTGCCTCTAGGATGAGATTCTGTGCCAAATCAATGCTTCTATCTGACTGGCTCTTTCTGGTCTATGTGTTAATGGTCTGCTGTAAATTGTTGTCCGCCTCTAGCCACCATCCCCGGGGGCACACAGGTAGGAGCTTTTAAACTCATTATGTGCTACTGAGACCAATTAATACCACTTGCAGAATGTTAGAGGCCACTTCTTAGCAATGGATAATTGATGAGGCTGTTGACAACATGTGTAATGGGTGCAATGGGTTAAAAATACAACAACAAGAAGAAATGAGTTATTGTAAATGTTCATGTTTTTCTCTCTAGTAATCTTATATACTGAAGATAGTAATCTTATATACTGAAGATAGAAGACAGGTTTTGGAGTGACTTCATGACTGCTAGGACTTTGGGATTTGTTTGTGTCCTTTTGCTTTATCCTTATCCAAAGATACTCTGAAATGTATCTTTATCTTCTCCCTCTTAATCCAGTTGTTATCAGGAGACTTTACAACAGTATCATCGGCTTTGGTGGGCAATAGATCAAAGTCCTCAGACTTATGTTAGTCAGTTCTTTCACTAAGTAACACAAATACAGAACTGTGGTTTAGTTCAGCTTGTGGTATGCTCCTTTTCCTAACCTGCACAGTGAGACAAACAGAAAGATGTTGTGTTTAAGAGGATTCACTGTAGTAGGGTATACCTCCCAGGCACAATGTAGTATCTTGTTATGAATGACAGAAATAGATCAGAAGAAGCTGGGTTAGCTTCAAGAAGAGATACCAGACTGGATCTTTGAAGCAATATCTTTGTGCTAGGACTATGCATACACATCAGTTTGAAAGCAGAAAGAAGTATAGATATAGTAATGCTAGTGCAAAGATGTGAGTGCAAGTCCTAAAACTGGATAGCTGAGTTAGTCCTGTGTCACCTTTGATCTCAGAAGAAACAGGTAAGTTAAAATACCACCTGTGAGCTCTGCTTTTTAGGAGAGGTCAAAAGCCTGGCTGCAACATCATGATGAGATGGCTGCATTCTCAGTACCACTTCATGCTGGCTTGGGGATTTCTGCAAGTTTTGCTATTTGTGATGTAGTCTCATTCTAAAATTAGGTGTAATGCCTTAAATCCATGTGTAATATTCTTAGCTCTGAGCCAGACTCTTGTGGGTCCAGGTCTAATGTTAGCATTCACTTCAGCTCAGTGCTAGGAAGTGGGTATGCATTTCTTAGAAGTTCCATCCTCCAGATGAGACAGCTTATTGATTTCTTTCCTAGCTGCTTCTGGTGATTGTCTAGGTAGGATCTGAAGGCTCCTCTTGTGCTTACCAAATCTCTTCAGTCCTGGCAAGCAGGACTGACTATGACCTGCATATAGCTGCTGTGTCTATCTACGTGCTCAGAACACATCAGCAGTGTGTGTACCGAAGACCTACACAAACCACGTCCTTGCCTTACCCCATCACCAGCTCTGCATTCCCTGGTGCTGTCTAGCACTCATGTGTTTGCCATAAAATGCAGTCACAGGTTACGGAAAATAACTGACATGTCACAGTAAAAGCCCATAATGTGATTCCAGTGAATGTAGTGTTAGAGGATGATCCGTATTACCATTTTGCAGGTAGCTGTTATGGAAACTAGTTGAATCACTTCACTGAGGAAGGGGGTCTATGCACAACAACAGGTTAATTAGGCCCTCTTGACCTTTCCTGTAAACAGCTGCTGCTTAGCAGAGCATTTCAGAGCTGACTACACAGCAAAACCTGGAGAACAGCCTTCTGCAGCTTTTGTCATTCAGGGAAGTCTTGTCAAAAGAAATGTTATTTTTGTCTTCTAAAGATGCACTTTGCATGTGTAGCTAAGGGAAATACCTGTAATAAGGCAGTAGTGATCCAGTGTTGTGTGCTCATATGATGAACACTTGTTATGTGCTATGTAAATTATGACAATCTTTTTAACATAACATTTCAGAATGCTTGACTGCATACTTTTAATTGACACCAAGAATTCTTTCCCCCCATAACAAAGAGGTACGGTAAAACACGATCAAGCTGCTCAACTGTTCAGCAGATTTGCGTACAGTACTTTCTCTGGTAGGCTAAAGAAAGCTTCTGTTCTTCATGAATAGTTTGGTCAGATTATGGAGCTCTTTTTCAAACAGACACCCTTGAAGCTGGAGCCTTAATGTACCTTTTTAGACTATGGTGTTATGTTCTTCTCCAGACATGAGCTTCTCTTTTGTGTACACTGTAGTGACCCCCATCCCACTTTATGATTCCATGTAGCAGATGAAACAGTCACCCCATTTTTGATTCTCCGGCTCTCCTTGTCTGACATATGGCACCGTAGAGCGTTTAGAGGGCTTGGGGGGGGCTCTCCTCAAGGGGTCTGCATTTCCCAGCTTCATCTTATCTTTGCTGTTTGATACAACACCTAGATTGACCTTCTAATGTATGATCAGATCTGTGATGGAATCTGATGTATGAACAAGACAACGCCTTGTTTTTCAGAAAAGCAAATAATTTAGAGCTTTTAGCGTAGCCTGTTTTGTGGAAAGCAAATAATTAGTCTCATTTATTTAATACAGATTAGTGTGTTCTTGGATGGCAATTGAGAGAAAATTTTTGCAATCAATAAACAATGTTAACATTTTTCGAAGTAAAATGTCCCAAAGCACATTAGAGGGATGAATTCAAGTTTTGGGTTTGGCAAAGGTTTTGTCCTGTATCAAGCAGCTGTAACCTGACAGGTACGTACTGAGGTGGGAAGTACATGCTGTTTATGAGGCATGAGGTGCCTAGCCTGGGATGCTTTAGGAGGAGCTGTTTTTTAAGAACATGCTGTGTCTGCTCCTGAAAATTGCTGTGTTTCAAGCTATGTACTTGACATCACTAGTCACTTTTGGAAAAAATGCTTACTCATTAAAGCTAAGAAAGTTTATTAACCAAGAACAGACAATAGAATTTAAGATGAAAAGTGGGGATTGACTTTTTTTCTTTTCAAAATACTGCTGTTTTTAGGGAGCCTAATCTGGGAAAAGACAATTATTGACTTTGGTCATGTTAGATGGTGCCTGAAAGAATGCCATTTGACAGCTGTCCTTGCAATATTCAGACAGGAACAGAGACTAGATCTTCAAGGACCTTTAAGGACCCAATAACCATCCTGTTTCTGAAAAGTGGGAGAGAATGCCATTGAGCAATCCCTTTGACAAAAAGGGCCTCTTCACTGTAATAAAGTGTGAGACAGACCTGGTGCTTTCTTTTGTTCTGCAAAATATTCACCACCATCAAATAACTGTTAGTGGAGAAAGAGACTGTTCAATCTAGCAACCAGTCCTGCCATTGCTTTGAAGCAGTTTGGATCTTGAGCCCAGCTTGGAGACCGCAGCCTATTTTTCATTCGAATACTGTAATTGCTTTGACTGGCAGAGTTAACTAGGCAAAAGGTAGAGAAGGAATGTTCCTTCTCATTACCATTAGGTCACTGTAGATGCTGCTTATGCAAATTATTTCAGCAGGCTTGCTGTAATTCTATGTAGAGAAGGCTCTTCAGAATATTCATCTGACTCTGTTGCTCTGAATTACTTTTCTGAAGAGTTTGTCTTTTGCACTGACAATAGCTGAGGGAAGCATAAGCACTGACCTTACTATAGCTATTTGAAATTGGACAGTATTTCAGGCTCCCAGAGTACCTAACTGATACTGATATAACTATCAATTCCATGCTGTGCTGAATAAAGCAACATACATTTAGTACCAGAAAAGATTTGTTTTCACCTTGCTGCTATAAGTCAGGATCCACAAATGAGGAAGCATTGAAAAGACACTTCCTCGGGTCACCTCACGTAGAGACTGGACTTGCAGACCATGAATTGATATAGGCAGCTGAGCAGTTTCTGTCATGAATTAGCAGTGCAGCTTGGCTTTTTTGAGGCTGCTGTGTTTTATTTTTATGTGATGATGCTCACCTGAAATGCTTCCAGCCTCCTTCTGCTTGCTGAAGGGTCTAGATTTTTGGAAAGCCTATTATTATTAACATATATTTAATAAACATCTGGAGCTTAGAGCAGGGCCAAATTTGTCTCTGAATTGTCTTACTCAGTTCATGTTTTCTCTTTTCTTTGTGATTTCAAGTGAAGACTTCACTGTTAACCCTAATGGTTTGCTTGCTTACTGTACCTGCAGGATGATGCAGATCATAGGGGTAAATCAGTGTGTTGGAGTGCACTGGGGCAGCTTGGTCTTTTAGCCAACTGGAGGCATAAATAGCAACTTCTTTTCATGGAGTTTATTCCTTGTTGCACTGCAGACAGTTTAATTTACAGGGTTATCAGAGGTTAAATGGGAGAAGTCTTGTTAAAACATGGCAATGGCAAGTCGAATATGCATGACCGTAGAGATTGGGAAGTGGGTTCATGATAGAATTATCACCAGCCTCAGGTCTTGTAAACCCTACATCTTAGGGTAAAAAGCTTAGTGAAATCCAGCTGAAAATATGCGATTGGCTGCCTGGCATCTTAGATGTGATCTCCAGTAACCAGGATGTGGTCCTAGCTGGTTTTCAAAAGACCAGTGATTTCCATCACATGGAAAATGTGAAAGAGAAGCTTCTTTTGTAGGCTCTGCTGAGCAGGGCCTGAACTGGGACTTGAGATTATTTTCTGGGACTCCATGAGTGTTCTCCTTAGTTTTCTTCTGGTTGGTTCTTGAACAGGGAGAGACAGATGTATGGAGAGGCTCAGTTTGTGTAGGAGCAATGCAGCAGTGTGCTTGACCCAGAAGACAAAGGGCCTTCTTGCTGCTGCTCCCTTTCTGCCCTTGCTATTGGTCAGGGATTAAGCAGTCTTTTCAGAATGCGTCTGTCTCTTCTTTTTTGTACTTTTTTTGGTTGCTCTCTGAAGAGGTGCTGGACTAACCTACCAGTGGGATGGTTAAAGTCACTTGTTTGTCACAGAAAGAGACCTCCTGTCATTTGGTAGTGGCAAGTATTATACGAAACAAAGATGTACCCTTGATGGACAGCAAACCAGATCAGCTGAAGGCAGTACAGAGGGTATGCAATGAACTAGATGTTTAATAATTATTTTCTGTGTCCCAAACAGCAAAGAGAAGCCAGTACCCTGGAGGAGTGGAAGGATC